ATTCTATGGTGCTGAGTTTTTAAACTGCTTTATTAGCCTGTAGCATGAAGCTGCTTTATTAGGCTGCAACATCTTACTATCTAATGAGATCAACATAAAATAACTTTTACTTTGCTTTATTTAGGCTCAGAGTGACTCTGGATATGAATATATGTTATAAAATCTTCTGTTTATAAATCTTTCTGTTCACATTTAGCTGTTTAAACTCAGCTACTCAGCAGTTAAACCAAGCTTTGAACCTGCTCTGTGTTTCCAGTCAACGGTTCCAGTTTGGGTCCCCAGCAGATCAAGACCTTCTGGCCAAATGTGACGAGTTTCACTCTCCGCCTGCCGGAGCGATCGGCGCGCTACAAGTTCAGCCTGTCGGCGCTCACCAAGGTGGGAGCAGGAGAGGTCTATGCTGAAGAATCGCCACACTTTACCAACGAAGGTGAGGAACGTTTAAGGACTTCTGCTCATTTTCTCCAGTTGATCATTCTGATGAGTTTTCCTGATTAGGAGGAGAAAAGGAAAGAAATAAGATTCTAGATCAGCTCCTTTGGCCTGAGAAAAGCAGCAGGACTTTTTCCAGAATATGTAGTTTCCATTATTTGTCATTGGTAAACATTCAGAAATACATACAATAAAGCCAAATTTTAACCTCCTGCAGATTTAGCTTTGAACTTATTGTCATTGAATCAAGAGGTTTTTTTCTCTCAGAAAAATACAGAATAATATGTCTTTATTTGTATTTCATCCAAGATACAATGTCAAAAAGTAATTATAGCTTCTAAATAATCAATTGAGACTTCCCCTTCTTACGAAGCTTGTTTTTTCACTGGTTTTTCAATGATTTTCTGACTCATCAGTAGGTTTGGAAGCCCTCTTTGCCATCACCCTAATTATGTACAGTAGAAAGCTGAAGTCTATAAACTTTCCAGTCTTACTGACCTAAAGGAAGTTCAGTGAAAAGTCTAAAGTTCTTACAGCTGCGCAATACTTCATGTTTTTAGCCTCAAACCTCCTTCTACAAGCTGTAAAATCATGCTTACATCTTCCTTGCTGTTAAGCGTTCCTATTGCCTCCATATTGGCCTGACGAAACGTCCTGCCTCATGTTGATGATCTGAATGTGTTGTGAATTATTCTGTGATTTGATGTTGTTATTTTTTGGGCTTTAGCATAACTTCATGCATGCTTCAGTCATCGACCCATGTTTGCTTCCAAAAAGCGTAGAAAAACAAGAACAATTGGACTTTATTCTGCTTGGACTCGTTGGGCCTAGTGTTGCAGTGTTGATGAGAGCCAAACAGAAGGTTCTGACCTGTTTGGGTTCTTCTCTGTAACCTGAGGCGCCAGCTCTAATATATGCAGCAGACAGCTTTGTACCCCTGGGCCCTGATGATGACTCTTCTACTTCATTCCCTTTGACCTGGTTATCCTACTCATTTCTGAGCCGGTGGCATTCTACCTTCTACCTTTGGAGATGAAAAACTCTCATAGAAGAAGAAGGCAAATAGAAGAAATACATTCAGTCAAGATTAAAGGAGCCAAGGTCCAGCCAGGGACCAGCCAAGGTCCAGCAAAGACCAGCCAAAGACCAGCCAAGGACCAGCCAAGAACCAGCCAGGGACCAGCCAAGGACCAGCCAGGGACCAGCCAAGGACCAGCCAG